CCCACTCTTCCTTTATTGTTCTGTCCTGCAATTTCTTTCTTTATAGGTTTGGTTGCCAACAAAACTGAAGAAAGAACAAAATGTTTAGTTTTTTTCCCTCCGTTAAAGTGGAATAAAATTCAGCTGCAAGGTGTATACATTTATTGATAATTTGATTAAAATGGAATTTTCGTTTTCCCCCTTTTTCTTCCGTTGAGAAGCAAATGTAGCTTTATGTCTACTCCCTTATTATGATTTTTATTTCCATTCCTTTTTCAGAAGAGAAAACTGTCTGAAATGGATGACATACATAGAGATCAAGAAGAGAAATTCTTGAATTACGTGCGTGGTCAGTATATCGTCATTCTAGAGTTACTGATTTTTTTAATCCCTGTCTTCATGTTTTATGTGAATCTCAAAGTCATCTCTATGTTTTTGTTCTCTTTTGTGTTAATTTTGCATATATCATAGAAATATACAAAAATATAACCATCACTTGATTTTTGCTTTTAGATAAAAGATATGTTATTATTTGGACCTTCCTTATGAAATGTAAGGTAAAATAATGTGTTTTATAATTCAAATTTCAAAATCATTTTATCTTGAGTTGAATGCTTAATGGTTGGGCTGAACTCATGACTGATAGTTTGACATAATGAAAAGCTTTAAAATGGAAGCAGGGTGCTTTTGCGTTTCATGGAAGCTATAGTTGTGGCTATAGCATTTTGAAATTCGTTTTTTTGGTAATGGTCGAAACTAGATACTATAGATTTCTACATAGCCGTGCTCTGATATTTGAACCAATACCTAAGCTGTAGATGTGAAGAATATGTGACAATGACATTCTAGTATTGTGTTAACGCAAAAAATGATTGTTATAAGTTATAACCTTGAATGTGAGTTTGTAGAATGAACCAAACTGTAACCCCCTCAGACCGATACAGGTAACCCGATCCGATCTGGAGTGTCCATTAGGGCCACCGGAGCGACCCACTGCAAAATAGCGGAAAATTTAAAACTTTTAACAAAACATGTAACTTATAAAATGATTTATCAGTATGTATAAATAACAGATTTTTGGACTCGTATATAAACAAAATACAATTACATGCCCCCTAATCACATGTACCGTACTCTGCAAACAACGTCGGAAAAAACTCCCTTACTGATGTCGATAGCTGCACTGATACAATTCTTTTAACCTGCAATGTTGAGTAATAGAGTGAGCTTCGGAAAGCTCAGTAATACAGAACTACCAGATGATGCTGAAGAACGTGCAAATACAGATAAACATATGTTTTCTTATTGTTTCCGAACATCTACAGATTTTTATGTTGATCGGAGATCCTACTGATATTTCAGATGGTAACGGATAATGAGCTTTCAGTTCAGATAAATATTTCGAATGACTGAGTTCAGGAGATCATAATAGGTTATCTAGTGTGTTCCCTTAAAACTAGTAAAAATATACAGATTTTTATTTTAAAACATATATATATACACCCCCATCCTTTCACAATCTGTTTGTGTATGTTTCCCGGAACCATACACCCCGCACAACCAGTGAGGCCCTGAGCACACAGCTGAGAAGCCGCAATAATCTTCCTCCAACAATAAACCCCCCCAAATAAAACATTTCTCCGTCGTTAAACGGAGATATCAGAAATCAAAACAGAATTCAGAACATATATCAGAACAAATCCAAATCAGAAATCAGAACAAAATTCAGGTCATGTATCAGAACAGAATTCAAGTCGAAAATCAGATAAAATATTTATATGATTAGAGAACACACCAGAGTTTACAGATATTATTCAGAGGTACAAGATAATCTTATCAGGAAGAAAAATACGGATCTTCAGTATACCGATAAAATACCGGAAGTTAGAAATACTATTGGAAAAGTTCATTAACTGACTAAATCATCAGTTATTCAGAATGCGAATTATCAGGATCATATCTTATTCGAACAATTTTCAGAAGTTGTACGTAATCATAAGGGTATTCAGAATCCTTTACATCCATGTCAATTGATCGGATAATCAAACAACTTGAGAACGAAGATTCAGAATCTTAATAATCTATGTCGATTGGTCAATTCATTTTCCTTCCAGGGTATTTACTCTTTAATACCACAAATTCTTGTCCATAGACCATCTTCAGAATCATCGCTGAATAGATCTTACAATGGTCTTTATTTCATTTCCAAGCTTCCACGATATCATGAAATACGGACATGTTTGATTTGTAGTTCATGTTCCATAAGGACATTACATCTTATAAACTCATCAGAATTTCCAGACTTATCCAATTTACTTACTTAATCCTCAGTCATGAGGTTACCTAGTTAATTTAACAGTCATGTACATTCCAGTTACTTCGGGATTTTCCAGAGTAATTCAAATGTTCCTGAATTTCAGACACATGTAGTACTTCCGTTCCATTCGATTTGGTCTTCGTGGTTGATTTGTCGAACAAACGTCCAATTCTTAGTACTGAATGCGATCCAGAGTTGAGCTAAGCTATCATCGAGTCAAACTTGAGAAGACGAACACACATTCCAGTAATACCTATGTCATTCAGGTATTGACATAACTTTGGAGTTAATCTACTCACTTAAATTGTGTTCCATTACTTTTAAAGGTAGTCCAACACCCATGCTTTTTGGATTCCTTAATTAATCCAAGACATTTACTTGGTATAGGCCATAAGATTATTTGGTAATTTTGGTGGTATTCTTGGGTCATTTCTATTACAGGGGTATTTTGGTCATTTTACAGATTCAATGTATTTTAATCATTTTCTTTCGTCTGATCTCACTATTAAATTCAATCTTATTATTTATTTCAGTCATTTCGAACAATTCTGACAGTATAATACCCCGATAAATTATTCTTCAAGTATTTACTCATTACTCGGATATTTTGGGTCAAGTGCCTTCTCAGATTTTTACCAACGGAATATCAAGAATTTTTCTGTTCTAAGTCAGGATCTTAACAATCAAATTCGTACTTAATGAAGTTAAGTACAAATCTTCAAAGTACAAATCTTCAAAGTACTTTTTCATTCAGGGTCAACTCAGACTATTTTATCTCTCAAGGGTATTTCGTAATTTCTTAACCAGATAATTTTGATATTAACTCTTAACGAAAATAATATAATATAGAGATCCTATGATTAATTGCTTCCTCGAACATTATTTGATCTTGAAATGATTCCTTAAAAGACTTCAGTATCTAGCATAAACCCTCTTGGGATTAAAAACGGTTATCCATAATTTCCAAGTAAAACTAACATTTCTTATGCACATCAATAGTTTTATCAGATCAATAATTCTTTTCGGATTATTAATCCACTTCCAGAGACAATACTTGTCATTTTCCAACATAAGGGTAATTTCGTAATTTTACCTAATCGAAATATTATCATAATTTATCATCTAAGTACCTTTAATGAGATAAATTATAATCTACATATCCATGGCTGATTCTTTTATCACTTAAATCTACATATCAATGGTTGATTCTTTTATCACTTAATTCCAGAACTTGTAATTTAATTTCAACTGTCCTCCAATTTCTTATAATAGTCATTTGAGCCATATTCAGTTACCTACTTGCTACCGTATTCGTATCAAGTGTAGATCTTCATTAATTACACATGAGACCAAACATTTTCATTCATGCATTTACCATACCAACATGTTCTATAAAGCATAAAGAGTAATATTACCTCAATTTTCGTGCAATACTGATCGACCATAAAATTCCATTTGAACGCCCTCTATCTTGAAATCATCTTCCAATATTTCCTCTGATCCATACCAACAGAAATTACATAAAAAAACAGAGCTTAATTCTGAAAAACAAATTGAATCGGATGATAAATCAGTGAAAAATAGCTTACCGAGTTCGAATTTGGCGAAACGAACTTCGGATTCGGATTCAGAACGTCGAAAGCATAAAATATGACTTTTCGAAAATTTGGAATTTTCGGTCAAAATCAAAGTCAACGGGTTTGACTGGCAATTTCGAGGCCTTCGGGTCTGAATTTCAAAAAACGGACTGCGGAATCGGATTTGGAACGTCGAAAAATGTCAGGATAGATATACTCGGTCAAAGTCAAAGGTTGTTTAATTGCCCAGTCAAAGTTTTGGTCAACAGTGGCCAACGCCGGTCAACGGTTAACGGTTAACGGGTCAGGTTGGGTCAACGGGTCGGGTTGTAACCGGTCAAACCAGTCAGATTGTTAAAAAAACCGGTCAAACCGATCATTTGGACCATCCCCACGCGCAGTGGGGGCGCGTGGGACCCACTCTGGTGTCCTATAAATCACGTAAAAATTTCTAAAAATTATTTTGAGCGATTTCAAGATACTTACAAAGTTCGGTTAAAATTTTTGAACAGCGGAGAGCTCGATTTCAACAAATTGAAAACTTTGATCGCTTCTCCTCCTCACGCGCCGCCGTTGACGGAGACCAAGGATGACACCGACAGACTCGAAATGATGCAAGGAACACGATGATGCGGGAGGTGTCGTAAACGAATCATCGGATCGTCGTGAATCGATGAAAAACCAATTGAAATCGAGTTATTACCGACGATACTTCCGACTGAAATTAAAGACGAACGGAGACGATTCACGACGAAAGGTTTGACGGGTTTTGTTCCTCGGTTGACAACGAACACGATGGTGGTTTCGGCTCGTCGATCGGAGGTCGGACGGCGAGTAGATCAGAGTTGAAAGAAGGGTTGTTGGAGAGGGAAAACTGGGAAAATATTCTGATAACATATGGGGAGAGATTTATAATTCTCTCCAAAATAAAAATGGTTAAATTATGAGTTTAGCCACTGAATTTCCTGTACTTCTTAAAAAGGTATGCCAACTTTAAAATTTTATAATTTAATCTCCACTTTCTTCCAAAAATACAAATTAAATTCACCACTTTATAATTTCTTAAATTTAGCCCCTAAATTGAGGTATTACACAAACTTTGCTAATGGCTTGCATTTGGTAAGTGGCCTCTGTAATGTAAGTATTTCTCATTCACTTTGGCCTTTGCAAGTTAGCATGCCAGTGTCTACTTTCTTGAACTTTTGCACGAATGTAATATTGCAGGTCCAGCAAGGACAAGCAATGTGCAGACTACCAAAAGCTTTTGATTGAAGAGAGCCAGAAGTGTAAGAAGAAATCAGCTGTTGATTGTATCTCTTTTTTTCAATGTAAAATATATATGTAACAGCATCCTTAACTTTCTTGGCCTCTTCTTGCTTCTGTCTTTGTTGAATATGCTATTGCAAGGAAACTAAACACAAATTGAAGCTGAATGTTAGGTATGCTGGGTAAGAACAAGAAAATAACAATATTTAGTATCAGTTTACATGAGTCATGGCTAAAGAACTCAGTATTATGCTTTTGGTTAAAGAATTGGATTTCTATGCTCAAGTTTTGTCCGAGTAAAAAATGGATTTAGGTTTTACGTCTTTCATTGCCGTTGAAGTTGGTAGTTAGTTCTTGTATTGTTGAGGCTTGCACCTGTCCAAAATGCATGGGACAAAAACTGTTTGCTTCATTCTTTAGATGGACTGGAAGAAGGTAACTGCGCGTGTTGATTTGTTTTCAGTATTTCTATATATTACTTCTCTCAGCAATCCGCATGGTTAATAGATCTCTCGCTTCTCCCTTGCTATAACTTTAAAAGGTTAAATCATAATTTTGACATTTTTTATGGTTATCATGCTAACGATCAGAGTGCATATTCACAATTGTCTACTCTCCACATTTTCCATTTTGACATTTATACGAAGTCAATTATTGTTTGAACACTGTCCTCAATCACTAACTAGACATATATGAAGTTGAAAGTGGATTATCTTAATTTGTACGTGGTGTCTTTGAAAACATATTTAGATAAATGTGTAGAGTTGCCTTTGTTGGATGTTTTAACTTTCTAGTGTCAAGCATGTCTGTAGCTCTTTTTTAACCGAATGCTAAAATTTATGACAGATAAAGCACTTTCTGAAGAAGTTACGAGGCTGCAAAATCTTCATCAAGAGGGACATTTTAAGGGTGGCAATAGAGATAATATACCAACTGTCTCTCCTAGAAGTGCACAAGTTGCAGTAGAAAGGGTTTCTGGTAACTCCACTAGAATGATGACAAGAAAGCATGGCAGGAAATCAGCTGCTGAGACTGACGACAGCATCATTACACCTGATTCAGCTAATGGTAAAGTTTCCATGTCATGTGCTTTGACGGAAGACCTTCCTGAGAAAGCTTTTCCCTATGAGGTTCTTTCACATATTCAGCTGGTATATTCTCAATTAATCATCTCTTTACTCAAAAGATGAGTTTCTACATCTTTACTGATTATTTGGATGATTATGCAGCCAGAATGCTGTAAAGGCAGTATAAGTGCAAATGCCACTGATCATGGAACTTGTCTGCTTAAAGCTCTTATTGAGTGCTTAGTTGGCATGACAATATCCACCGTTGACCAAACTGAAGGACTATGCATTTCAGCTCTGCATCAATCAAGTGGTAATTCTTAACTTGAGAATCATAGTCAGCTCATTAATTTTTTAGTATTTCCATCTTTCATTTCTAGTTCCAGGTATTTCCCCTTAAAGTTTTTATGTTATTGATTTGTTGAGTGGTAACATCAGTAATGTGATGTAAGATCAGAAAATTTTGAAGATAATTTACAAATCGCATAACACCCGTCATTGTATAAAGCACCGTCATTGGTATAAAGCAATTGCAGAAATAAAGTCTGTTTCACTATGTGAAGTATCCGTTTTTGACATTTGTGTTTTACATCTATTTGGACATGGATAGGGACTATAGTCATACGCATACATTAACTAACACATATGTTAATAAATACATCCATAGTCATGCCTATTCAAGAACTACTAGCTGCTGCGTACAAGAAATGACATTCATTACTTGACACCGGATAAATGAAACAGGTTACTCATTCAGCCTAACGTGGATAAACAAAACAGGCGGAGAGGAAGCTGAGTTAGTGTACCGGGTATCGTCATTAGGGACATTTGAGAGGGTGGCGCCAGAGTGGATGAGGGATGTCATTATGTTCAGCACAAATATGTGCCCCATTTTCTTCGAGAGATTAAATCGTGTAATCAAATTGAATTGCTAACTGGCAAGTTATCTCCCTCTTTCTCTCCTTGGTGTTTGAATCAGACGTGAAGTAAATATGTATAAGGTGATAACAAATAGTTATCGAATTATCACCAATTAAACCTTTTGACAAGTTTCTGCATGTCAGTTACTAAATTGATTATTTCCTTGTTTGGAACTTGGCATTTACCATTCAAAATTGCAGGATTGTTGATGGGTTGACAATTACCTCTTTATCTTAATTACTATTTATTCTTTCTTAATTACTAAATTGATCATTTCCTTGTTTGAAACTTGAATTTCTGGTCAGATTTTCGGTTCAAGTTGACTTTAAAATTGTAAAGTTTGAATAACTAAAAAAATTAAAATTGAAATAATGTCATTTGTTAAATAATTTGATTGTTATGTGATTTGATCGTTCTTTTTCTTGTTTGTTTTTTTTTTTTATTAAATTAGAGTCCATGCTTATCTACCACTTAAGAATATTTGTGTTTTGTTCCGAGTGGTCTTCTGACTATGACTATTTGCAATTTGTTTCTTTCTATCAATTCATTAGTTCCCTTACACTTCCATTAATAACTTTTCTTCAAAATTCATTCTTTAAAAAATAACATTGTAAATATGTTATATCATTTGAAATTCGTAGGTTCAAATCCTACTTGGGTTGAATTTATAGTAATCACTTTTCTGACCTAGTCACCCCTGCCCTATATTTTATTTACACATGTGAAAAAGAATATGTATCCACTTATATAATGTAAATTTTTTAATTTTATATTGATTTAAAATAATTTGAATGAAAATAAATGTTTAAAATTATCTCTTTACTTTGAATAAATATATTTATTTTTTGTTTGATTCAATCAAATACTCGTCAGTCGTCACCATGAAGTGAGAGTGGTTCCTTTTGCATCAGCCAACATTTCTGGTCACCAAGACTGATGGTGTCGGGCCATGTCATAACAAATTGTTCTGTGTCTTTTATGAGCTAATTGTTAATTTGTTATTTGGGCCTTCGTGCAATGAGACCAATATAATAATATTCATACATTTAAGAAGTAACGTGATAATTACGTTTAAATATATTTTGATGTTATGGACGGTTTTTAAGAGGTGGGTCGATGGAATCGTATACACTTGAGCGAACAACTCATGTAATTGGCAAAGAAAAACCAGTTTGCAGCAGCGTAGAAGTAATATAACATGGAATCATCTGTTGATTTAAATCCTTATATCTCATTACTCTTTTTCATTTAGATACGCAGAGATGGCCAAATAAGCAACTGTACACTGCATTCCAGGGATTGAAACTACTTGTTTTTTCTACCATACTCTACTTCCTACACCTCCAAGCTGATACCGAAAACAGCGGTCGATCGTGCCAGCAAATTACAATGCAACCGTTCTCTTCCTTCATTTCATACCCATCGCAGTTATACCCCTGCAGCAATCTCCTCGCGTGCAGCGCCCCGTAGTAACTCAGAGGGACGTTTCCGAAACCGGCCAAATCGAGCCTTTGTATCCATTTCTCGAGCTTTTCGTGTCTCTCCTTCCTCTCGGCTCCCTCGCAAGCTATTATGTTCTTTATTTCCTCTCCGAATAGCATCTTTTCCACCTTAAGTCTCTCCAGAGATGTTCTCGAGACCGTGGACTCCGAACAATCGAACAATGCTGCATAAGAGTAAAGAGATTCTAATAGTCTCTCTATTAGAGTTGATCCATTATGATTAGAATCTTGTTCTGTTACCACCATCAGTTTCGGTGACAAACCCCACAATGCATTAAGGAAGCTATCTACCTTCACTGAACCTGTCGAAGATGGCGGTGACGATGAGGCTAAATCGGGACTAGGGCTATATCCATTAACCGTATCTTTTACAAGCAACTCTCCTAATGTGCTCTGGTTCATCTGGAGTACTCTTTGCAAGTGAACTCCATTCGAATTCTTTAATCCTAATCGTGGTTTCTTTCGATGGAGTTCATCATCATCATCGGAGGCCAAAAACGAATGCAGCTGGAGAACAGAGCTGATTGCAAGAGCCTCCCCGGTTTTAACTCGCAATTTCTCGATGTTGAGATTCTCTAATTTGCTAACAACTGGATTGAACTGGAACGGGAGGTCCAATTTCTCAGCTTCTTCAGTCAATCTATGAGCCATTTGATCCAACACTTCTTTCTGTTGATGAATGCCAGTAATCCTCATATGAGGCGGCCCTTCAGGCCTAGCACTCAAAGTTTGAATAAGCGCAACCCACTGCGCAGGCTCGGCCGCATTAAGATCGATTATATGAATCATCTTTTCGCCTTCCATCGCCTCGATCACGGCTTGGTTTGTAAGCAAATAGGCCACCTTCAAGAAGGGGAACAACTCGAAGAACAGCTTCCGAACAAGGATATGTTCGGAAACCAAAGTTATCCTCGTGGAATTGAGGGCCTTATGAAGACCAGGCCAGGCTTTGAGGATTCGATCAGCAAGAGCCTGCGAAAAATACGCAGCCATTCGCTGCATCGAATCGCCGTCCGGCGATGCGAGTTGGGATATTTGCTCGAGTACAATGTTGGCATTTTCAAGGCTACCACTTGCAACATGATTAGCACAAGTGAGCAACAAATGGAGCAAACATAAACCCCTTTCTTCAGATTTCAACTCTCTAAGCCATGAATAGGGCGATCCCAAGCTCGGTGAAGGTGACATCATGGAGAAAACTTGCAGAGGCGATGATGATGATAATGTTACAGACGATGATTCGTCTTGGAACATTGGCACAAAAAGTGTTGGTCTTTTATCTAAAGCGTATAAAGCATCAAACTTTCATGCAAAGATTGAAATTGATCAAAAAACCCAAATCAAAGCACATAAAAAGTTCCCAAGATTGGAATCTGGGGTTCAAGCGAAGTATGAACAAAAGAGAGGGGTAAAAAAAAGGGTTTGAGGAAGATAATAAAAGGTGCAATGCTATTAGGTAAGCGGTTCGACAATGCGTGAAGGAAAACTTTGTCCTTTATGATTCGTTGTCGTTCCCTCTTTCAGTGGAATATGGAATTTTATGAGTAAAGCTTTTGTCTTTTACTTCCCTACAAGTTTCCTTCTTCCCAAAACTTGAATTTTTAAAGGGCTTTTTTCTTTTGTCTTTGCATTAGGTGGATAGGGAACCAGCAAAGCGCTTGCTTTGTCATCTTCTTTCAAAGACACCGCCTTCTTAAAAGATTCCCATGGGAAAGAAACAGCCAAACATGGAGAAACAAAAGAATGGGCTCTTCAGTTTTGTTCCCTAGTGGGGTTTTTTTTTTCAACTGAGAAAGCTCTATTGTCCTAAAATGGGTATTTTTCTATCTCTACAAATTATGGGTTTGGTTTTTCTTTTCAAACCCAATGACCACACACAATTGGCATTATCTAAATCTTTCTCTGTTGTATATATCAAGACAAACAGACAAGTGAGCTAAGCTATCTTCCAAAACTATAATATACTACATTTATCTTTACTTGTTGGGATTTCTTACTCTCCCAATTATATTTCCACCTTCCTCCGTAATATATTCAAAATTTATTATTCGTATAACTCATTAAGTGATTTTAGTGGTTAAAATAAGTATTATTTTCTTTTGAGATTATATATTCAAGTATTTGTGTCTGTCTATAGGATGTACTTGCTTATAAATGGTTGAGAAAGATTCTAAATAAAATATTATCCTTATTATTATCTTAAACTATTCGAAAATATATAATTTTCATTATCAGTGTATAAGATAACAATACTTATATTTATATAAATTTTTTTACTAATGTAACATACTACACCATCTCACTTATGTACACTTAAAATGTGACACATAATTATTTTAAATGTAATATATGACACATCATCATTTATGTACATGTAATATTATCAAATCATCAATTTAAACATATAAGATGGGTCACGTCATCGACAAACATTGATAGTTAATTAATCAACAATTTGTATCAAATATAATATTTTAACTTATAACAAAATGTAAAAGATTAAAGTAATAATATGATAAAAAGTCAATTTTTTGAATAATTTGGGATGATTATAAGGTAATATTTTTTTTTAAATTTTCTTAATCTATTAATAACCCACACACACCTTACAAAAGTAATTGTTTGAATTTAATACTTCTAGATTAAACAATTTCTCCTTTATCATTAAAATCACTTGATGAGTTCTATAAAACGTTAAAATTAAACTTTTACGTATATCTATTATATATAATCCAAGTTTGAATTACATATTAGTAGTATTGGATTTCTAGCATTTCTATTTGAACTTCACTTCCAATTCATTAACGCCAATTTCTTTAAATAAAAACATTTCAAACTCTTACGATAATGGACAATAGTATTGGAGATGACTTAATAAATTTTACGTGGCAATATATCATTGGTTCCTTTTATTAATTTGAAAAACTGACGTTTGAATTATTGTGTCTTATATATATATATAAATACAAGATTATTCAAATATTCTCAATTATTTAACAATAAACGCTCATATTTTTAATTTGAGATTTACAAACTCAAGACTTTTAAAGTATAATAAACTGAGATTATTTGGTTTGTATAATAAATTAATATATTAAATTATTAATAAAGAGAAAATAGGTTTGATGTTTGCCTTTTTGAGAATGAAATGGCGACAAAACAAAATGTGCGATAGATAAGCTTTCCACGCCATAAAGACAAGCCTTCAAAAAATTCTTATCTTTGTCAACTTTGAACAGCTCTCCCGATTATCTGTCCGTATCCTTTCATTTTAAGATAAATAAATCTAAAAATATAACACGTGATATAATTTAAACTACCAAAAAAATATTAAAAAATTAATTAAACCAGGGGTGAAATGTCTTCTTCTACGGCCTCCATCAACTATCATCGGTTTCTCTTCTGCATGAGTCTCGTTGGATCAAATCAACTTATGGAAACGATGGAAGTATGATTTTATATCGTAGTTGAATTTATAAAATTTTAGAGGGAAGTAAATTTATATTGAAATTTTAAGAGGTAGACTATTCTCACCCTACCCTTGGTCCATCCCTGCTCGTGATACTATTAAAATTAATGTTGATGATACTTGTCCTTGCTCTTGTGGTTCTCCAGCTATGGGGTCTTTGCTTGTGATTGTGAGGGAGCTGTGGTGGTTAAATGATGCTCATGAGTCGGGGCTTATCGAAGCACACATTATCTGTTATGGTGTCCTTATGGCCAATGAGATAGAGTTCACGCATGTTATTAGTGAAAGTGATTAATTTCAATGCTGTTCAACAACTGAAAAAATCATCATACAAATTGTTCGGTGTCGTAGTTGTACCTTGCCGACGCTAGACGGTTACCCGACTCTCACCCCGAAGTTATTGTTTGCTATGCTCGCCGGGAGTGTGCTCATACCATGTTTTCTTTACTACAGTTTCGTTATTTTTGAATCCTTCATGTATTTCGACTAGTGAAGCTAATTTTAATTACCGAAGGAATGATTTACATTAAAAAAAATTAACTAAAAAAAATAAAGATTAAAAGTTACGTTGTCCTTTCATTGCTTTAGACATTGAGGGTGGTTAAAGACCATAAATCTCCTTCAAAAAGTTGAAACAAAAGCACAAGGTCGGCTTGAAATCTCCACCCACTTCCGAGAGAAAAATAAACAAGAGACAACTCAGCCTGTTCTTGCCTTACAAGCGTGTGCAAATTCACAGTCAAAACGCGTACGCTTTTCTTCGCAGTCAAATCACCACTATCATATAAAACATTCTCCCAAAGCTTCATTTCTTTCCCACAACACCCAAATGTGTTCTAAAGGAGGAGAAGCAGCAGCAGCTTGCTTTGATTGCCTCCCAGATGCTCTTCTTATTCTCATCTTCAACAAATTACACCATCTCAAATCTCTCACCGTTTGCCTTTCGGTCTCAAAGCGTTTCAACGCCCTCGTTCCCTTCACCGACACCGTTTTCATCTCCATCCCACGTCTAAAACACTCCCGCTCCATTTCAACTTCACATGTAAACACATCTTTGAGACTTCTTTTTCTCAACTTGTTCCTCAAACCACTTAGATGTTTCCATCGGATCATGGCTCCCCACAAGCCAAAGACGACGTCGTTCGATCTTTCTTGTTGTCGGCAAAATGGGGTCTTGAAGATTTTCAAGGAGATGAAATCGTTGCATTTGGAGCTTCCTGGTGATCATGGTGAGACGTTGGCCGGCTCGAGTAATGGAGCTTCTTTTCTTCAATGGAAAGCGGGTTTTGGAACCAACTTGAAGACGTGCGTTATTGTTGGGGCAACATCGTTTCAAAAAAGCTCAAAAAAGGAAGAGCGGGAACAATTCATGGAGGGAACTGTATTAAACGACGGCGAGTTGAAATCAAGAGTGATATGGACGATTTCTTGCTTGATTGCTGCATCGACGAGACATTGTTTGTTGAAGCGAATCTTGGCTGATAATAATCCCAACATCCCATTGCTTGAAAGAGTGGTGATTTCTGATGCAAACAAGCAAGGGATGTTTTGTGTGGGAAAAGAGGAGCTTGTTAAGATGAGGAACTCCATGAACTTGCAACAAGAATCATCATCATCGTCAATGGAGAGGAGTCCGGTTCCGGAATTGAACATGAGACTGTGGTATTTGCCGGTGCTTGAGTTACCGGAATCAGGGTATGTGATGAAAGGGGCAACGCTTGTCCTTATCAGACCCGTTGTGGACGGGATGATTGAAAACGATGACGGTGACCCATTGGTGGGAGATGAGAAGCCATTTAGTGAAGCTGTGAGGGAGATGATCAAAGTGAAGAATAGTTATTTTATGACAGTGAGTTCCTTTTGACACGTTTCAAGTAGAAGTTACTCGCTAGATCTTAATTCCACATTATTTACTTTAAAATATATGGATTAAATCAAATTTTTTAGATATAAAAAAAACTGATTTAATGTATAAATCTGTATGAATATTCGAATGTATTTGGAAGAGTTGTCCGTTCCATTACTAATAAAAGTTCAAATTTTCATACTATTAAGGAGATTGTAATTGGAAAAAATAGTTATTACGCATCGTTGTAAATGGATATTATTGCATACCTAACCACCCATTATTTGGACTTAAAATCCAATCTCAACCTTTAGTTTTGATGTGTTTATTGTTATAGACGTGAAACCCATATTCTTCACGACAAGAGACATGAAACCCCATTCCACAGTGTAATGCACCTTCTCCAAGTCAATTTGTACATCCAAATATACATGCTAGACCAACAATCAATTTATTTAATGAGACAATACATTGAATTCTTTAAATAATATTAGAGATTCAAACCTTGATGCTTGCAAATATAGTAAATTGAGTTGAGAAAATCGTCCTTATAATAGATCTTAACAAAATTCAATCCAAATTATTCGATCAATATATCGAATATCATCCTATGAGTACGCTGTAACTGTATAACTGAACTAACTAAAGAATTTTTTTTAATGTATAAAATATTAGACGAATGTTATAGCATGAACAAGTTACACGAATGTTTTCAAATTTACAAAAAACGTATAGATATATCATTTATATTATTATACAATAAATAAAAAATGGCACCCCCGGTTGCATATAAATCAAATCACAAAAACAGATTCCGGTCGCAACATGCCAGATCATAATGGTTGCACCCAAATCCATCGACAATGTGTCATTCACCATCTCAACTGTGCAATGGTGCCTTTCAAGTACCCTCTCCCCCCTAGTGAAATGAGGACGAAGATGTTCCCTCACTAAAGGGAAGCTGTATGGGTTCTTTAGGGATGAGGGGATGCATCTGAAACTTGAGCACCATATCTTCAATGCCATTCATTTGTAGGATTTTGATCCACTTGGCCCTTTTCCTCATGGCAATATCTTAGAAGATTAAATTGCCCCATACAATCTAACCTCTTTTTCTTTTCATGCTGCTTTTCCACTGACCACCGGAAGATTCCTCGTAGCAAACGGCTCTTGTTTTACTTCATTTTCAAAACCACAGACCAATCTGAAGTAAAGAGTTACAAGTAGTGTAATCACCATTTTTACCTTAGTCTCACCAGCTGTCCCTCCACCGCAGCAGCATTCCAGCAGCCTCTACAACAGCAAGCCCGGACAAGCTGTCCCTCCACGTTCACGTTCCAGTAGCTTCCATCACCTAACCAGCTGTACCTCCACGCTCCAGCAGCTTCCACGACAACCGTCCAGCTGGTTCCACGCTCCACATAGCAGCTGCCAACACCCCAGCTCCACCTGTGGCCTCCCTTGCTCCACGTCCCGGTTTCAGCTCCCCACCAACAAGCAAGCAACAACACAAAAATCAGCATATGTATTTTTCAAATTTTCTTTTATTTTACACCTGTAAATCCAGGGTTATATAAAAACCCAAAGAAAGTCAAGAAACAAAATTTGTAACTTTTCCCCATTATTCGAAATACAACAGAAAAAACAAGAAAACATTTCCAAAGGTTCATTTTTTTTCAGTACCCGTTTTCTTCTTTATTTTTTTTCGACTAGAAATATAGGGACAGAGGAGTGAGTTTACCTTTCCTCGAGCTCCTCGTCGGAATCTCGAGCCGGCGTGGTCCTTGGTTTACTGAGGAGCTCTCGGTCGAGCAAAAGAGAGAGGAGGAAGAAAGCCTCTTAGGGGGCTGTTTGGTCTCGGTTTAATGGCCTCTTCGGCCATATTTGCCATGACCGGCGTCGTGCCGGCGGCGCTGGTGAGGAGCTTTGAAGCTGTCGGCTTTACGTTGAGTTGGAGAGGGAGAGCTTGAGGAAGAAGATGATACAGAGGGGGAAGATTTTTTGTTTTCACATCTCTGGAAGAGATAGAAAAGGGAGGTTTCATTTTAATTATTTTGGGTAAATCACGTGTCAGGTCCCCAGTTTCGAGAGCTTCTTGCTTTGTTCACCTGTTTTATGAGTTAATATCCAAATGGTCCCCTTAATTTTAGCTCCTTTTACGTTTTAGTCACTAGTTTACGGGTTAATTATTCTTAGATCCTCAAAATTTAGATATCTATTTACATCCTGGTCACTATCCTAAGGTCGAAATGCAGAGACCCCTAAGCTTTTACCTTGTCTTTATATTTTAGTCACTTAAAATAGCGAAAATAACTAAATAATCCCTCTAATTTAAGCGCATATTTACAATTTAGACACCTGATTTCTCTAATTTTTATTAATTTCGAATTTGAGCATATCAATTTTATTGTTTTATATTCTGATCATATATCTATATTCCAGTTATTTTAATTTTGACTTGCTTTTTTGTTTGCTTATATATTGGTCATTTATTTATAGTTTATTTGTTTTAACTTTGATGTATTAGTTTTATTTTGCTTCTATTCTTGTCATATTTACATTTTATTTTATTTTAACATTGATATGCTATTTTTATTTATTTATGTTTTGGTCATTAGTTATATTTTATTTTAATATGATGTTTGGTTTGTTCACAATTTTATCATTTATTTACGTTTTGTCTTATTTTAATTTTTGATATGCTATTTTTGTTTGGTAATATTTTGGTCACTGTTTAACTATAATTTGGTAACTATTTTTATTTCTGTCTTTTATTTTTTGATACTTTAAATTTAGTAGTTTAATTATTGCTCTTTATTTTTTTCATTTCATTTTAGTCCTATAAATATATATATGAAAGCCTAACAAGAATAAAGGGATTATTCGTTTCGAGTCTTGACTGCTAGCTTCATAAAGACTCCAGCTCCTCTCTGCATATTTAATCATTCCAATCAGGAAGAGTGGGAAATTCAAGAGTGATACCCAAGATCCAGTCTAAGACCAAACAAAAACATAAACCGCTAGTGCTGCTTGGATCAACAGCCCAAGAAGGTGTCTCATCCAAAGTAGGTTATCTTCCAACGCATAGGCAGTGATGGTGTCGGGACCACCCAAGGTGCAGTAAAAGTAGTGAAGCTCATAATCCTCTTTAAGAAGTTGGTAAGAGCAGATTCGTAAATGCAAGTAAGCTTCCCAAGTGCAGCAGTGGCCACCCAATCAGCACTTAGGTATGCAAGCCAAAGAATGGTCCCAACCCATGGTTTAACCATGGATCTTCTACGATTGCCAAGCGCAAAGAAAATGATTTGTAATAAGAGACTGAGAATAATCATAGCCATCACGTCCCCATGCATCCCATAGTTTCTTTATGATAATTACAATTGGATTCATGTTGTTGTTGTGCTGGATTCCTTTCGGTTACTGATAATAAAACACTTTTTTAGAGTAGACACGTATATATTTAATAATATAAAATTTTTATATGGAGTGAATGCAATTAAAATTTTAAAGTGAACACAATTAATAAAATAATAATTAACCAATGAAAATTTAAATTTCAGAGTGAATAAGCACGCCATCTTCCTTTAATCTAATTATAAATAAATATATACAAATGATGAGCATGTAAATGTTTTATGTTTTACTTTCCCAATCATAAATAATGACGAGTTCTATCAAAATTTAAAAATATATTTTTGGGAAGGAAAATGTTGCTTCTAATGGCATTGAACCCACAATCTAGGAAATAAAGGAGATGTCAAGTGAAAACTTTTAACCACCTATTTTAGAAGTTTAACTTTGATATATTTATTATAAATGGGTACGACACTTGTTTATCTTTGTTTGAGAGAACTGTATGTCTTGGTATGATTCAAAATTGTTTGCTTTCCATACAAATTTCATGTTAATGAAATCTTGGCGGGTTATAATTGTGATGAGCGGTTCACTCCTTTTGATTTAATCAAAAAATTATATCGTTTAACTCTCATATGCAGAGAACCTATAACCCTAAGAACATCATAAATTCATCTCGTGCTTGAAGACATGATATAAGCAAAGGAATCTATGACTTCAAGAAGACATCAGAGAATTATCTCAGGATTTGAAGATGTTTTATGAACAGAGGAATTTGTAACCCTAAGAAGATATCATAGGAGCAAAATATATGCGCGAAGGAATATGCAATTTTAGAAAGACAGCATCTCATGTTTTGAAGACAGGATACAAGCAGCGAAATCTATAATGATGAAAAGACATCAAGGAGCGGAATATATGAGCAGGGAATCTACAATCCTAGAAGGCATCATGGGAGTCACCTCGTGCTCTAACAGAATGTGTAACCGGAGGAATTTATAATCATATGAAGATATCATGAGAACCATCTTATGAAGACATAACTTTTTATTGATTCACTCTCTTTTTTATTCAGGTGAAGAGTCACATATTCTATATTAATGATTTACACTACAGAAGTGGAGGCTCTCGCTACGAAGGCTTCCCACATTGTACGAACGAGAGCATCTCAATTAGAGGTACTCGGTAAATTTGCTACAACACTGGAAATCTCAACATAAGCCTCTCTTTAAGGAAGGATCTCACACTCCAATCAGTGAAAAGATATTCCCAGATATCTTTATAACCAAAAATAGAAATCTGTGATATTATAAATAAGTCGGAACTCATGTAAAATTTTAATTTTGATTTAAGCTTTCGGAGTTATAAACAACAACAATACAAATAATCATACAGAATAGCATACCATAGGATGTTTGGATGAATTCACATGTATTGCTTCAGTTTGACCTTTTAACAATATTGAATATATATATATATATATATATTATTAGTTTAGAGTGATAAACAATGTAATATATGTTCTAAATATTTTAAATTATTTGATAATGAAAGCTCAAACACTCTTGCAATCTCTCGTGCTCGAATTTAAAATATCTAGAAATAACAATAATCTCTTTAACCACTAAAATAATTTAGTTCGTGAAATTAGTCTATATTTAAATCGTTAAAAGGATAAATA